TATGTATGTATGTATGTATGTACGTATGTACGTACGTACGTATGTACGTATGTACGTATGTACGTATGTATGTATGTATGTATGTATGTATGTATGTATGTATGCATGTGTGTACGTATATATGTATGTGGATATGTATGTTACTCGTATACATGCATACAGTTGTGGCATTGGCATTCGTAGCAGTACGTGGTCTGTTACAAAGACTAATGACCTTATTGAGTATACTCTCTCACCTCGTCTCTCTGATCGCTATCAGTTCCTCTCCTTCTTCATTGTAAAGAGATACGTGAGGTAACAAAGACTCTGATGACTGCATGGCTGATTTCGAACAAATTCCAATTTTCGTTTACCGGCTGTAGACGAACGGAAGAATTTTTCTACGTGTCTCACGCTGAGGTGAAAAACTCGTCTACTTGGTTGCAGTGCTTGAACATATGAAAGTGCTTCCATATGTTTACGGATGCCGTCGTCTCGGCTGTCTGAGTGGCGTTGCGGTCGTCAGTGGATATCATCGAGGCATGGTAAACGGTCTCCGTTTCCGACCATTTACAAATGCATCGATCCGTTGTCTTATAGTAAATAGACATTAATGCTGTCCAGCTGAGAAAATGTTCGTCAAAAACAAGATGACGTCTCTCCCCTCCTTCCCTCCATCCAGTGTCCGCCGCCTCTATTGCGGTCCTCAATCAGCTTTTTTGTTATTACCTCGCTGATTGAAGTTTCCTGAGGATTAGTTTTTTGTTCTGCTTTCCGTTGTCGATGCCTCGGAGATCTGAACAGGCGGATATTGTTTTACTGGCAAAACATGATCAAGAATTTGAGGCAACATCGACGGTCGGCTTTCAATCGAAAATGCTTAAACATCCTCAGATTTTAAACTAATGGACTATTATTGATTCTGTGTATGGCACCGTATTGATACTGCTCTCGTTTCGGGGCAGTTGATTATGCTTTAAGTCTTAAGGATTGAGGTTTGCGTTCCGGTGATGTCATAGTTCCTCACTGCTCAAATAATTCAACACCCAGAATACGCCGGTGTTGGAGAGTTAAGTAGAAAGTGACGGACGTTAAATTATTGCCTGTGCATTTTAAGCACGTCTTTATATCGCAATACAGTCTATTTGTATGTGCTGGATTTCTGCAACCAAGGCGACCATTTCCTGGCAGTGCTTAAATCCGACTTCAAAAGACATATTGATCCCATTCATTGTAATGCGTCATCTTCCGTTTAGATGGCAGGCGAAAGCAGAGCAAAATCAGACTTTTTAACGATTATCACATCAGTTTGTGTTGCACTTCCATGATTGAGCACCATCGCATTAGTCTTCAACGACGCTGCTGTATCATCAGCTATGGGCATCTCTTTGCTTTACTTTCGTAAGGCTTATATCTACCTCCAGGCAACCACTATGGCGTGAAAACTCCTGCTTCCTTCGCATAAATAGGTAGCTCCATTTATCTGCCTAAAAACGGTGAAAACCGAATGATCGGACCAGGGCTGTAAGTGAGATTGTGAGTTTGAACTTTGAATCTAAAGCTTTCTGCTGGGCGAATTTGGCGCTTATTTTCTACAAAGAAATAATTAATAAGACTTATTAGAAATTAGTGTGCCCTTATTAGCATTGGCTAGTTTGATGAAGAAAAACACTTACGCATAGATTTATCTTTTCACATGAACTACACATGGCATTGTCAGTTATGGACAGAAAATAAAAAATAATTTGTAATCATTTTAATGTCGGTCGCGTTTCAATTTCATGAGGTGACATTTCTGAGTACTTGTTCAGCACAGCTTTATTCTTCTTAAAGTTAAGCATGCTTCAGCTTGGCTATTGAATACCGTATAGCGATTGTCTCAGTCTCATGTTTCTTTCTGATAATTGTTGCTGTCGTGAGGCACCTGTCCTAAAGTGACTTACGCGTCCAGTTGCTAGACTGTTGCGCATACTTTCGAAGTACACATTAAACTATTTTAGTAATAAGCTGAAAACATGAATGTATAATTTTCATGCTTAAGTTGTACCTGAACTTCGTTTGGAAAATACGATCTGTTGCGAACACATCACGATGCATACTAATCGTTTTAACAGACTATGCCAATTCATGTCAGCAGTACTATAATCCAACTCTGGTGAAACATGATGTAGTGAGTTTTTGATAATCAGCTTGCTCAAGATGGTCAAAGCTGTCCCAAAAATACCATATTCATGGCTTAGGTTCAAACAGCACCTGTAAATACCACCATGTTGAATAAATCGTGTTGTGCTGTGTTTCCAGTGACGGTATAGCCTGTATATTTGTGTCCTACGATACCTAGAACCCGGGGAACTCATGGCCGTGATGAAAAATACCCATTCTATCCGTTTCTAATTTCACTTAACAAATTCCAGAGAGAGGCCGCCGAGTTTCCTACTTTTTGTCTCGAAATTAATTTACAAAATGTTAACGTAACATATTTTGAGGCCCTGTTTACTGGTGAGGGAAACATTTGAGCAAGGGTTCGACAAGCGGATCGGAATGATCACCGTTCTCTACTCTGCTGAACCGCTGTAACTAAGGCAGAGCTGAATTCATAGACGAAACTGTCAGAATTGAAGTTGATGTTTGTTTCCATTCGCACTAACGGTATGGCGAGTGATGGACAATGACCAGAAAACTTTGATCTCGCGTATAAGTGGGAGCCTAGAGATTTTACTTCTCCAGACCGAGAAGTCATAGCCACAAACGTTTGGGCACGTTTTGCTAATGCTTCTGGAAAGGGAGTCCGAATTGTTACTATTTGCTCGACCGACTGACCGGAGATGAAGACAAGACTAAGAATTAGCTGCAGCAAATGCCTCAACGAATTCTGTTCCAGACTCGGGTTATCATCTGCCGAAGTTCAGACGTTAGCGCAAACTCGTAAAAGTTCGAGGCGCTGGTACCCCCTCCACCCGTAAGAACATGCGGTCATCGAAACCGATCGAATGTTGGCTTAACATTGTCCAAGTGACCAGGACGGTCACGCTATAGAGAAAATCAGGAACGGTCTATGCATGTTCAAAAACCAGCGTAACTCGTGTCGACCGTGCCGTGATCAGCTGACGC